GGTGCCTCTCTGTGCTGTGAGTTTCTTCCTCTGAAACCCCCCACATGCCTTCTCTCGTCCCTGCCCTAGGCTCCCTTGGTTGCTATGTCCACTCTGCAGTCCCCTCCAGGCCTGGGATTCCCTGGCTACCTGCCAGCATCCCCAGGGGCGCAGGGTTCCAAGAGCTGGAGGGAGCTGCCTCCCAGTCTAGCCCTGCCTGTGTGGCCCTAGGGCTTATGCCCCATGCCAAGTCTGGCACACCTGTGGAAATGGGGTGAGGTTGGCACCTGCCGTGTGGGCTGTGGGAAGAGTGAATGGGACAATGCAGAGGGTGGGCCAGAAAACGGGCTCCAGGAAAGCTGAATGCATGAATGAGGAAGAATTAGTACAGCCTGGGCAACACAGTAAGACCCTGTCTCCATGAAATTAAAAAAAAAATTAAAAATTAGCTGGGCAAGCTGGCTCATGCCTGTAGTCCCAACTACTTAGGAGGCTGGGGTGGGAGGATTGCTTGACAATGGAAAGTTGAGGCTGCACTGAGTTATGATCATGCCACTGCACTGCAGACTGGACAACAGTGAGAGACTCCATCTAAAAAAAAAAAATGAGTAAATGAAGCCAGGTGCAGTAGTGTGTGCCTGCAGTCCCAGCTACTCAGGAGGCTGAGACAGGAGGGTTGCTTGAGGCCAGGAGTTTGTGGCCAGCCTGGGCAACACAGCGAGACCATGGCCCTAAAAACAACAACAAAAAAAATTTTAATACAAAAAGAGTTAATTAATGGGTCAATTTAACGGATCCTCTTCCACTTCAATATTCAGTTACCTCAATTGTAGGTGACCTCAGTCCCTCCAATGAGAGAGGTTTGTCTGGGAGTGGTTTCCATCCCACCCCCCAGGCTGAAATGTGAGTTGAATGGATCCTGGTGGCCTCCCCTCCACTCCAGAGGCCTGTGCCAGGGCTGGTAGGAGGGGGAGGCAGGCAGGCACTGAGGGCACAGGGTTGAAGGATGTGAGAGCAAGTGCCCTGCTCTGGTCACTGTGGAGCCTGTGTCACCACGGCTGCAGGGCTGGGAAGGACAGACTTACAGACTCACGTTGTGAGGGCGCAGGGAGCGGCAGTGAAGGGGAAGTCTCAGCTGGGGGACCCTGAGGAGGGCTGAGCTTGGTTGGGGCCATGCGAGTAAACTCCAAAGGGTGGCAGTATGCTGGGGCCACCTTACTGAGGGACATTGAGCCCCAGGGGCGAGGGCACCTGGAGCAGAATCGTGCTGGGATCAGACTCCAAGTGGGATTGGGAGCAGAGGCAGGGGAGGGACCAGGAGTGTGGAAGAGGAGAAGGTTCTCAGGTGAGTCCCATCTTTTCAGCTGTCTGCACCTCGGTCTCCTCACCTGTTAGGCAGGGACAGGGTGGGGGTGGTACTGTGCCTGCAGCATTGATGTGAGGAAATGAGCTTCCAGAGCACCCCACTGCCCATGGGGCTGGCACAGAGAGCGTGCTCCATAAATGGGGGCTCTTGCTACTCCCGCAGGAGGCTACTCCCTATCCGCTCCTGGATGACTTCTGCTTTGGGGAACACTGGGTCAGAATTTCCACCAGAAGTGGGTTCGAGTGGGTGGTGGGTAGTGGTGCCTGCTGGGGTCAGCGGTGACCTGGGCTCTGACCTCTTCCTCTTGGGAGCTGAGGTGTAGAGTTCCAGTTGCTAGCAACATTGTGTGAGGCTGCACCATGAGACTAGCTGTGCACGCATTCTGAGGTATACTTAGTAGGCTGGTGCTGGGGACGCAGCAGTGAACAAGGCAGGCCACCAAGGCCACCAGGATGGAAAGGGAATTGTAAATCAGGATGCCTCAAAGGAGACCAGGATAGGGATCAAGGGCAATGTGACCCAGCTGGAGAGGCCAAAGCAGGCTTCCCTGAGGAAGCACCTCTACGTTGAGTTCATTGGCGAAGGTCTGGGTAAGGAGCTGTTGCGTAGGGAGAAAGCCCTCGCCTTGCCTCAGGACAAAAGAGGAGCAGACATTGGAACAGAGCCCTTCATCTTCTCACTCTCCCTCTTAGTTCCGTATATTGCCTTCCCCTTATTTGGCCCCCAATGCATCAGACCTCCAGTACTTCACACCCTTAGGAAGTCCCCTTCCACACTGACTCTGGACTTTGGACATTTGGCCAAAATGCCCCAGTACAGCAAGTGTGATGCAAACAGAGGCTTGATAAGCACTTATACATTGGGGCTTGTTTCTAGAAACACTCCTTAGAAACCAGCCACCATGCTGTGAGGAAGCCCAAGCTGCCATGTGGCAAGGCAAGCATTCAGGCTGAAACTAGCACCAACTGCCAGGCATATGAGTGAGGCCATTGTGGACTCTGGGAAAGTCATCCTAGTGGCCCAGCCACTAAGCAGGGAGCAGAATAACTGGTCAAATCATAGACTCATGAGAAATAATAAATACTTGCTGCTTTAAACAATGACGTTTTAGAGTGATTTATTACATAGTAGTAAATGGCACAAATGTTTTTCTGCCCCAAGCCCAATTCTATCCTGTGCCCAGAGCCTCTCTAGCTGGCATGAGTATCCTTCCCAAGACCTGTGCAGCTCTGCCCTGAAACTTTGTGTGGCTGGCTCCTACCAAGCTCTTCCCAAGACCAGAACATATCCTCAGGCCCCCAAACCACCTTCACTGGCTGATGCCTTGTGAGGGTCTCTGGGTCAGACAGGACTTCTGGGTTTGCAACTGAGTGATGAGGCGTAACTGTCTCTGGCCTCCAAGGAGAGCCAAGCACAGGACTGTGCCCCAGGCAGGTCTAATGTTCATGTGGTGGCATCTTGGGTCAGAATGCAATTTATCTGCTGGGAACATGTCCTTGCTTGAGCAACCTTCTGGCCTCCCTGCCTTTTTTTTTTGAGATGGAGTTTCACTCATTGCCCAGGCTGGAGTGCAACAGTGCAATCTCGGCTCCCTGCAACTTCCGCCTCCCAGGTTCATGCAATTCTCCTGCCTCAGCCTCCCAAGTAGCTGGGATTACAGGCATGAGCCACCACGCCCAGCTAATTTTTTGTATTTTTAGTAGAGACGGGGTTTCTCTATGTTGGTCAGGCTGGTCTCGAACTCCTGACCTCAGGTGATCCGCCCACCTTGGCCTCCCAAAGTGCTGGGATTACAGGTGTGTGCCACCATGTCCGGCCCTCCCTGCCTTCGTTACACATCTATGAGCACTTACTGTGGGGCCTTCCTCCCGGCAGTGCTAGGGGAGACAGCAGAGGTGATGAGGCCACTGTCCAGGTCCTTGGGGTTCCACAGAAGGGTGTGGGAGAAAGCCCAAATGTGACCAGGCACACTCAAGGTATCAGAGCTGCTAGAGCTGTGGGGGTGTCCACAAAGGCCTCCGGGTTTAGGGGTGTCTCAAGTGTTGGGTGCAGAAGAGGGGCCTGGCACCTGCAAAGACTACATCGTGACCAGGGATGAAACTGGAGCACAGAGGCCTGTGGGGGTGGGGCGGGCTGGGAGGTGAGGAGCCTTGAGTGCCGGAGTGGGAGCATCCTGGGACCTCGCCCTGGGTAGCCAGGACGTGACAGGAGAGGACCTGCTTTGGGTGAGTGTCTCCAGCAGAAGAGGCAGAGGAATGGAAGGATGCACAGGACGGACAGAGAGCAGGGAAGGGTCCAGGGACACAGGGAAGAGAAAAGGTGTTTCGGCAGCATAGCACGTGGATGCGGTCACTGCGGTCACTTGCTGTGCCTTGGCTGCTTGCCAAGGCCACAGGACCAGACCAATAGAAAGTGTCTCTGCCAGGAAACTTACTGCCCAATGCAGGGAATGAAGGCAACGTCTTCAAGAAATCATCAAAGCGAGGGCATGCAAACCACCTGAAGCAATTCTGACCGCGAAGATGCTGCATCGGCTTGGGGTGGGGGGACAACTGAGTCCCTTTCATTTCCCTGGCGACCTTATCTTCCCAGGCCAAATATCACAGCTGGAGAGGCCATGACTGTCAGTCAGGGTGTGTGGGAATCAGTTGGCACATTGCAGGAGGTAACATGAGAATGATTTAGGCAAGGGCCATTTACAGAGGTGGGGGTGTACATGAGGCAGTGCAGCTCTAGCTCAGAAGCCGGTAACGGCTGGACACCACACCCACACCCCCCAAACACATCCTGGACGCCTGAAGGGGCAGGGAAGGGAGCTGTGGAGAAGGACAGTCCACCGTGGCCAGGCTCTCCTGTCCTGTGAAACTTATCCCCTGTGAACCTGGTCTTCCTAATGCACCCCAGTGCCGTCTGCCCCAATCTCAGGCTGCGCTTAGTAGACCACAGTCCAGAGAAGGGCCCTCCGGAGTAATGCAAAGCTGTAACTACAAGAATGGCCACTGCAGCACCACTTGGTAAGAGCTAAAAGCTGGACACAAGCCAATGGCCCACGGATGGGAAGGGCCCATCCCCATGAAGGGAAACTGGGTGCTGCTACAGGAAGGAGGCTCCTCGTGTGCCAATGGGGAGAGGGCTCAGCACCAGTTCCGGAAGGCAGGCTGCCGGGCAGTGTGTACAGGAGGTCACTCTTGCGAAAACAACAAATCAAGCCATCAACACTGGCTGTGCAGGCAATGGCGCAGTCTGGAAGGAATTCTCCCAACTGTTGGCAGAGCTCACTTCAGGGGTGCAGCCAACTTCAGTGGGGAGGGCTTCCACCTTGCATTTTACATGCTTTGTACTGTCTTTGTTCACACTAAACATACAACCCCTTTAGAAGTCATTTATATAAAGAAACGCAGGCTGGGCGCGGTGGCTCAAGCCTGTAATCCCAGCACTTTGGGAGGCCGAGGCGGGTGGATCACGAGGTCGAGAGATCGAGACCATCCTGGTCAACATGGTGAAACCCCGTCTCTACTAAAAATACAAAACATTAGCCGGGCATGGTGGCAGTGTGCCTGTAATCCCAGCTACTCAGGAGGCTGAGGCAGGAGAATTGCCCGAACCCAGGAGGTAGAGGTTGCAGTGAGCTGAGATCGTGCCATTGCACTCCAGCCTGGGTAACAAGAACGAAACTCCGTCTCCAAAAAAAAAAGAAATGCAAAAAATATGTGGAAGGGGAACGAGTAGAAAAAGACACCAGTGTTCTTCCCTAAGGGGCATTTGGCAATCGCTGAGTTGAACATTTATGGGAAGCTGCAGTGTGGCAGGCCCTAGGAGAACCTGAAGGCTGCCGGCAAGGTGCTTACCATCTACGAGAAGCAACAGCACTGAGGTGGGTGGGATGAGTGGGCACAGCCAGGCGACAGGAGCGTGGGTGGTGGGACTGGTTCATAGCCATGAGGAGACCCTGTGGACAAGCCTACTGGGCAGAGAGGCTGGGGAAGATTGGGCGTTTCTGTCTGCTCTGCGTGTGCAGGATGAGATGGTGTTGGAGACAGAAACATGCTCGACTCAGCAGGGCTTCGGAAGGCCTCCAACGATGCATGGCCACCATTACAAAGGTCCTAAGAGACGTGCAGGCCAATGAGAGAGGGATGGAGAGGCAGCAGTGGGCACGGGCCCAGCATGAGTGCCAGAGTAGGGCAGTGCCACTGCTCCGGGGCTGCAGAGTGAGTTACCCTGGGGCAGCTGCGGAGCCTTCCTCCAGTAGCACACAGGTAAACGCCTTGTCCAGGTGGGCCAGATAGGCCTGGGTGGCTTGTTCTGCACATCCTGGCCTGTTGACCAGGAGGGCAGGACGTAGGGATCTCAGAGATGACCCTTCCGCCACACCAGGTCTAAGAGACCTTTTGTCCATTGTCCTCCAGAGGCGCTCCTCTGCCCAGAAATCTCAGCATCCGGGGCAGAAGGACAGTGAGGCCTGAAGCTCTGAGACCCAGAACCGTAAATCCTGCTGACAACAGGAAACTCTCAGACGGGATGGCAGGTGGCCTCTCCCTCAGGTGCTGACTTTGACAAATCCAGGTTGCCTGGAACACCGTGATGAGAAGGACCCTGAGGACACCTCTGAGATTGCTGGGAAAGAGTGCCAGGCTTGACTGCTGATCTGGCCATGGCCGAGGGTTATAGACCGGGGCAGGAGTTTGCAGTTCTGAGGCCTCTAGAGGCCAAAGGTGACTGTCTGATGACCCTGGAAGTGGACTGGCCTTTTGGGGATCACCACAGTGCCTGCACTGGCCCGGTGGTGTGGGGCTCCCAGGCAGCCAGTAGGGGCCTTTTCTAGCTCCCTACCTGCAACAGAGAAGTGACTGTGCCCTGGGCCTGAGCACGGTGACTGGAACCCAGGCCTATAGCTTGAGGGCAGGCATGCCGAAGAGCTCGAGCTCCAGTCTCCGTTCCACAGTCACGGAAGTTCCCATCCATGTGCGTTAGGAGGGGAGGCCTTGATGCAGGCCCCAGCTAGCAGCAACCCAGGCCAGAGGGTCTCTTGCTCTCCTGGGTCTCAGGTGGACTCCCTTCCATTCCTGAAAGGAAGGGAGAAGTAATTTAGCATCAATCAATAATCCTGTCGCCGACACTGGGCAGGGGATGCCAGCTCTGAGAGTCAGAGCTGTGAGCGGAAGCTCCTGGCCTGTTGTTCAATCCCTGAATGACTTGGCCTAGGACAAGACACGGAGGGGCATTCCAGGTACTGGGACAGAGTGCGTAACGGTGCAGACTGGGAGAGCCGGATCGGGACACATCTGCAGAGCCTGGGATGCCCAGCCTGGGCCATGAGGTCCATGGGTCAGGAGAACAGGGAGGGCAAAGGAGGGTGTCTGACCTGGCAGGTGTGATCAGGGAGGCTACAGGCCTGAGGCTGCAGTGACACCCCGAGAGGAGAGTCAAAGGACAGCAGCGGGCCACAAGTTCAGGAAATGGCAGGGTCTCGGGTGACAGGAGGACGGTGCATGTGGATTCTAGGCCTCCAGCCTGCTCCCCAGCCCAACCCAGCCACACCCGTACGCACGGATTAGATCTCCGTCGCCGACCTGGAGCCGGGCACTGCTCCGCTTCTCCAGGTCCTGCAGCATGGACTGCTCGAATGCCAGGGCGGCTACGCGGCTGAAGAAGGCCTTCACGTTCTCACCTGTGGGTCCACAAGACAGCTGGGACTCATCAGTGTTTCTCCTTGCCCCTCAATGCATCTGGGTGTGAAAGCCAAGCCAGCCCACCCTCAGGCTGGCACGTGGCCCTTTTTAGAGCAACCTGAAGGTAACAGTGACCGCAGGAGGGCACAGCCCCACCCACTCACACGGACATCACAGTGCCAGGGGCAGGGTCCACCGGCCTGGCCTCCCACCCAGCTCCAGCCTCCCCACTCCCACCTGGCTCCTGCCACCCGACTCCCACCCGCTGCCTGGTCAGGCCACTCCCTCAAACTTCTGAGCCTTTGCTTCCCAGCGTCTCCCCTTCCAATCTGTTGCTACTTTGGCCCAGGTGTTGGGACATGTGTGGCTCAGGACAGAAGTGTGCCTGCCCTCCTGTCACTTTCCATACCTGTCCAGTGGGGCTGTGAGGACTGATTTGCTGTCAGCCCCCCACATGGAGCCTTTATGCATCCTCTTCCAGGTAGAGGTGGCTGCCTATCAGGGAGCAGGCCAGTTTCCAGCCGCTTAACATGCACACTGCCCTTGTGCAGCTAGCAACCTGCACAACTGCACAGGGCAGTCCTGCTTGGCCCACACCGAGCTGTCGGTGAACTCACTATCGCTCTCAGAAAGGAGGGAGGGTTCTCACAGAGCAGCTCTCGCTGTCGGGAAGGAGCAGTGGAGGGTACTGTGGCGCAAACCCCAGTGCTCACCCAGTCTCCAACTAGACAGCTGCGTTCTCCTCTCACACAGGGCAAGGACTACTGGCCCCGATTCCTAAGTCCCCAGAGCCTTGTGGGCCTACTGTGTGCCAGGCCGTGTGCATGACTTCATTTCTTCCTCCAACAACCTGTGTTTTCCATCTGTTCTTTGCGTCTTCAGATTTTCTGATTTCCTCAGTAAACACACAGGGCTTTTGTAATTTAAGACTTTTTTTTTCCCCCCACAAAAAAAAGGAGATGGAAGGCATCACCTGCTTCCCATATGGGAGATGGAGGCTCAAAGACGCTAGGCATCTGGCTTGTGGCCCAGTATGGCCAGGGGTAGACCCGGTGGGGAGTGGGTTCAGTGAGAGCTGGGGTCCGAGAGCCACAGTGATACCGGGAAGGGGTGGGAGCCCCTGTCACTGGGCCCTTCTTTATGCCAGGTGATGTCACAGGCCTGGCATCTCAGGGCCGGGGGCAGGACAGTACAATGGTTACAAGTGAGGGTGTGTTTGGATCCTGGCCCTGCCACCCAGTGGCCCTGGAAGTGACTTCACAGGGAGGAAATGGAACCTGCCTAATGAGTGGTTATGGGCTTGCCTTGGAGAACAGGCCAGCACGGCATGACACAGGGTTGGGGTCGCCATTCCCCCATTGGTGACACAGGCCTCCCAGCCTCCTTCTAGAGATGAGGCAGCCCCTCATAGGCAGTGTAAGGTGCTGCCAGGCTCCAGCACAGCTGGGCTGCGATGCCAGTGTGTGCCACGGCCACAGAAGGAACAGATGGCTGCAGAGGGAAGAGCTGCATGGCCGGGCCCCCGAGACTGGCCCGAGAGCAGGGCTCTGCCCCACCACGGTGACAGCCCCGGCCCCACTCACCAGTCTTGGCTGACACCGACCAGTACTCGGCCTGCATCTCCTTGGCCAGGTGCACGGCCTCGGCTTCGGCCTGCTGGCACGCGGCCCCTGACTGGGAGAAATGGCCCTCGTTGACCCAGCATCCCGGGCTTGCCTGCAGGCAGGCCCTGGGGGATAGGCAGCTGCCTGCTTCCCACTGTGCCGCCTCCCTCCCTCCCCACGGCTCCTCCAATGAGGGCTGGAAGGGGAGGTATTTTCCCGAGGGCCACCCAGACCTCCAGGGCCACTCTGCTCACCAGAAGGTCCTTCTTGGTTCCCACGAGGAAGACGAAGCAAGAGCCTGCCTCATTCTCCCTCAGGGCATCTTCCAGCCACTGCCTGGAGTGCAAGGGAGAGAGGCTGACTCACCCATCCTCCCACTCCACACAGCGGGCAGAGGGCACACTTGGGACCTCCCCAGGGCTGGGGTCCTGGCCCACACTGGCTAAGCAGGATGCTGCACCTCCAGCCGGAAGGGCCGTGGCTGGACCGGAAGTGGTGAGAGTACTAGAGCGCTGGCTGGCGATGGGGAAGACCCTCCTGGCCCTGCCTCTGGCCTCTCCCGGTGAGACCTTGGGTGAGCCCTGCATGTTTATCAACGAGAACCATCACCCCGCTCCCTCGAGGGGTTTGGAAGATGCTGGGTGTGATTGCCCCAGACCAAGGTAAGGCGAGAGGGCTTTGCTCCCGATTCCCAGCAGAAGTAGGATGGCCTCCTGAATGGGTCACATTGCCAATTCTCTCTTCTTAAGACTGCAAGTGCCAAATTCACGTCCCGTCAAAGACTGGCTATACAATTTTCAGGGTCAGAGTGAAGTGAACACGTGGGGCCCCTCTTTCAAAAAGTATGAGGACTTGCAAGATGGTAACAGCAGAGTATGACAGCAGGCTAGGGCCCCGCTGAGCACGTGCCGGGGCGCGGCTGTGCTGGGCTCGCACTCATGAGCTGGCTCCTCCAGAAGAAATAAATGGAGGCAAATCTCGAGGGATAAAGGCAGCTGGATGGTAAGTGGCCCATAAGCAGCTGGTTCTGACAAGGGACCCGGTCACCCACACCCACCCTGGGGTTGGGGCCTGCTGGCTGGGGTTTGGGAGCACTTCCAGGCAGCTTCCTGAGCCCAGGGAGACTGCAGAGGCCACAGAGCCCAGACTTGCCTTGTGTGCTCCAGGGTCTGCACGTCGGTGAGGTCAAAGGCCGTGATGATCACTGGACACCCGGAAAAAGCCAACAGCCAATCAGTGCCAGGCGAGGCGAGCAAGAGGGCTCCCCAGGAAGTGCCTGAGGAAGTGCCTGAGGAACTCAGCACCAGAACCTCCTACAATGAAGGCTGAGGAGACACCCCATGGCTGTCCCCCACTGGGACACTCCAGTCTGCACCCGGCAGCCCAGCCTCAGGGTGGGATACGGGGAGGCAGGGCGAGGTGGGCGTGCCACGAGCACATGGGCTGTGGCGTCAGACACCCTCTGCCACTTACGGCTAAGGGAGCTCAGGTGAGGGCCTTAACTGCTGAGAGCCTCAGCTTCCCCATCTGTAAAACGGTGAGGACGAGACCTCTAGCTCTCAGGGTTGCTGTGAGGATTAAACAAGAGCAGCTGTTTTAAAAAGCTGTGTCCAGGGCCAGACGCAGGGCCAACTTTCCACCAAAGGCAGCTACGGCAGTCAGGGTTAGCAACAACTCGCTTTAGGGAAACAATTCCGGGGAGACAGGTGGGCAGAAACCGGGAGATGCAGCCCCCACCCTCAGCTCCTCTCTCATCACTGGCTGCACCTGGCCCTGTTGGCGTCCTGAGGAGGGCCCCATGTGGAGGACATTCCAGGCAAATGCTCTCTACTGCCCCCCAGGGGTATGACCAGGGCTGGACAGGGGCTTCCTCTGCACCTTGGCTGAAGGCTAGAGACCCATGCCCCTCCCAAGGCAGACAAAAGAGAAAGGAAGGGAGAAACTGAGGAAAGGGATGGCGGCAGCCAGGCTGCTGTGTGCAGAGGTGGGCCAGGTGCCTTGGGCCTCTGATCCCCAGGGGAGAAGCATCCCCTCAAGAGAGGCCCGAAGAGGTGAAGGGTGCAGGAGGCCATGCAGCCAGGGCAGAGCTGGAGCCTTAACCCACGGCTGATGGCTGCATGGTTTCTTTCCTATTTTTGCTTCTTTTAAGTCTTTTTATTTTTTTGAGGCTTAGTTGCACTCTGTAGCCCAGGCTGGAGTGCTGTGGCACTATCTTGGCTCACTGCAACCTCTGCCTCCCGGGTTCAAGTGCTTCTCCTGCCTCAGCCTCCCGAGTAGCTGGGACTGCAGACATGTGCCACCATGCCCAGCTAATTTTTTCTATTTTTTAGTAGAGACAGGGTTTCACCGTATTAGCCAGGATGGTCTCGAACTCCCGTCCTCATGATCCGCCAGCCTTGGCCTCCCAAAGTGCTGGGATTACAGGCTGGCCATAAAGTGCCTTATAATTTGAGTCTGGTTTTGGATACTTTTGAGGTTCTCTCCCATCTCCCACTGAAATCCATTTCTGTCTTCTTCCTGGAGGGTGCTGCCGCCCCCTGCTGACCGTGAGCCCTGCCCAGCACCACTGGGCTGCTGGTGGCCATGGAAGTGGTGGGCACCCAGCCCTGCTGGCCCCCACCTGGGACCTGTCAGTCCTCCCGTGGTACCCCCGTCACTCCTCCTCCCTGGCCCAGCCCCCTCTACTAAGATAGGACAAGCTTCCTCCCACCTCCCCCTGGCGTCCAATGCTGCCCTCTTCTCTGGGCCTCTGGAAAAGCACTTTCATCTCCTGAGCATCTTTATGCTTAAAGCCAGCACCTACTACCACGGGGTCCTTAAAGGGTGTGATCACCAAAGCCAGCCAGGGCCTGGGCATGAAGGCAGCTTCCCTGTTCCCAGGCTGTGGCCTGGGTGTTTTCTCAGTGGGTCTTGGAGGACAGAAAACTGGTGCCTGTGCAGAGAACCTAGGATTTCCACTGTGGAGCCTGGCGGGACCCCCCCGCTGCTCGTGGTTGAGGGCTTGATGTGTCATGTCGCTCACCCTGGGCGCCCCGGTAGTAGGCAGATGCGATGCACTTGAACTTCTCCTGCCCAGCTGTGTCCCAGCTGTGAGGTGGGTGAGAAAGGAAGGGAAACAGTGTCAGGTTACACAATCACAGTGTCTAAAGCCAAGAGGCTGTGGGACCATGGGTGGGAGACCCTGAGGGCCTGTGCCAGCTGCGTGGGCTTCAGGAAGTGCCTGTGGTGAGCCAGCTATTCCTACCCCCAGCTCCTTACGACCCCTTCCTAGGGTGCACCCAGTGGATTTTTCCTGTCCCTAGTGGAGGGGGTGTGGCATTAGTTGTTCTGCTGTCCAGATGGTTGGAGTGTGTAGCTCACTCCCTTCTGACTGAGACATTAAAAAGAAACATGCGGTCCAAGACATGACTCGCTCTGAAGATGTAGCAGTCCACTTGCAGAGGCTCTGTGAATGGCACTGGGGCTCCAGGCTGGGCCTCAGCAGTGGCTCTGCTGCTTGCTTGGGTGATGGGTGGGACTGGGGCATTGCTTCACCTTCCATACTGCATGTCCCAAAGTAGGGTTTGGGGATACCTAACAGGGGTAGCAACAGGTGGGTCTGAGCAGTTAGCTCCAGCTCTCTGGAGCACAGTAGTGAGAATAACTTAGAAGCTAAGCCCTGGCTGCATGGAAAAGATTACAGCAATCGATTAATGACGTCTGCCATGGGCACAGTCTAGAAGAGGGGAAAGAACACCGACTGAGTTCGCTAAGATCTGCCTGCCCCGGTTTAGAACAAGGCAGGTAGTCAATATGCAGGGCTGTGTCCGAAAATCCTTCCTCAATCCATCACTTTTTATTTTTATTTTTTTATTTTATTTTATTTTATTTTTTTGAGATGGAGTTTCGCTCTTGTTACCCAGGCTGGAGTGCAATGGCGCGATCTCGGCTCACCGCAACCTCCGCCTCCTGGGTTCAGGCAATTCTCCTGCCTCAGCCTCCTGAGTAGCTGGGATTACAGGCATGTGCCACCATGCCCAGCTAATTTTTGTATTTTTAGTAGAGACGGGGTTTCACCATGTTGACCAGGATGGTCTCGATCTCTCGACCTCGTGATCCACCCGCCTCGGCCTCCCAAAGTGCTGGGATTACAGGCTTGAGCCACCGCGCCCGGCAATCCATCACTTTTTAAGGTCAACAGATCAAAATTGAACTTTTCTCGGTAAACTGCAAGCAGACGAGTCACAAACAAGACATTGATGGTCTGACTTTTTTCAAATCATCCAGCATGAAGCATGACACAGAAGGTTTGGGCTTCATTTTTCTTCTTCTTCTTCTTCTTTTTTTTTTACTTTTTTAAAGACAGGGTTTCACCATGTTGGTCAGGCTGGTCTTGAACTCCCGACCTCAGGTGATCCACCCGCCTTGGCCTCCAAAGTGTTTGGATTACAGGCATGAGCAACCGCGCCTGGTGCTTGGGCTTCATTCTTTCATTAATTCATTCATATATTCTTTCATTTCTGAGGAAGACTCTGGGGGAGGAGCTGGTGGTGGTGGCCTGGAGATGAGCCCATGGGGAGGCTGGCAAAGGCCTCAATGTAAGACAGTGAGAGGCTGAGCCAGGACAGCACCCCTGTTTTGTCCAGGGCCCTCTAATGAGATATGTCCTGTGGTCACACGGGGTGAGCCCAGCCCCTAGCCAGTATTTCCCAGCTCCACCTGGGCTGCCCCCACCAACCCTTTGCTCCTCTCAGTCTCTGGATCCCTCAGTCCTGCAGCCCTGCGTTCTCCTAGCCTGCTTTGTTCTGGACTGACCAGTACTTTCCCTTGGGCAAGATTTGCTGTCCTCTGTCTCCAGACTCCCAGGGCCTGGCAAAGAAGACAAACAGAAGTGGGCTGGGTGTGGTGGCTCACACCTGTCATCCCAGAACTTTGGGAGGCTGAGGCAGATGGATCACTTGAGGTCAGGAGTTCAAGACCAGCCTGGCCAACATAGTGAAACCCAATCTCTACTAAAAATACAAAAATTAGCTGAGGATGGTGGCACGTCACTATAGTCCCAGCTACTTGAGAGGCTGAGGTAGGAGAATTGCTTGAACCTGGGAGGCAGAGGTTGTAGGGAGTTGACATTGTGCCACTGTACTCCAGCCTGGTGGCAAAGCAAGACTCCGTCACAAAAATAAATAAATAAATGAATTAGCTGGACATGGTGGCACACACCTATAGTCCTACTTGGGAGGCTGAGGCAGGAGAATCACTTTAACCTGGGAAGCGGAGGTTGCAGTAAGTCAAGATCGCGCCACTGCACTCCAGCCTGGGCAACAGAGCAAGACTCCATCTCAAAAAAAAAAAAAAAAAAGAGATCGAAAAAAGATAGAATTGTAAGGAAAGACAGGCAGAGGAGAGGGAGTGAAGGTAGCAATGTGAGGAGGAAGACGAGTGCCTCAGACCTGAGGAAGGAAGTAGGTGTGCGACTCCATCCCCACCCTCTTTGCCCAAGCCTGGCACGCAGGGACTGAATTGGCCCCATTTTACAGGTGGAAACAGAGGCTCAGAGCTCAGAAGTGACCTGTGGGAGGCCCCCCTGCTGGCCTGGTGAGTGGGATCATAGGAGGCCCAGGTCAGGGAGGTACTGGAGCCAGGGCCTCGGGAAGAAGAGCGGGGTAGGGAGCGGGAGGTCAGGGGCAGGTGGGCAGGTCAGAGCCAACGATGAGACAACTTTGGGACTGAGGGAGGGTCCGGGGGCTCTGGGAGATGGGAAGCTGAGTGACACACAACACCCCCAGGCCCTGCTTGTCTAGACCAGCCCTCGCTGACATGGGCACAGTGAAGGAGCTCCCCAAATCCTTTCTCAGGTGCCCCTAGGAAGCCTCCCGAGAGCCATGGGGGAACCAGCCACTTACATCTGGAGGCTGTAAGGAATCCCAGCGATCTCAAAGCGCTCAATTTCAAAGTCCACCCCAATGGTGGCCTTGTAATCTCGATCAAAAACGTTCTTGCAAAACCTGTGGGAGACGAAGAAGTCGTTACGGGTGTATATTCACAGAATGTGCCCGGAAGCGTCCCTTGCGAAGTAAAAGTCTTTAGACAAATAAGGTCCACTTCCCAGCAGGAAGTGATGGTCCACGCAGGCCACGGGAGGACAGGGCAGCCAGCAAGGACGGTGTGGGAAATGGAGGCTGCAGGAGCCCAGAAGGCAAGCTGCAAGTTAGAAACTGAGCGAAACTGAGAAGCCATTTGCAGGGAGGGCAGTGCCTGTGGCCTCGGGGGGACAGTCTGATGAGCGCTAGGGTCCTGGGATGCCACGCTGTCTGCCCAGCCCTGCCATTTCCCCGCTTTCTTGCACCCGCTCTCATCTGGCTCCCAGCAGTTCCTGGAAGCCACATGATTTCCACCGTGTTGATATTATCTGTGACACCCAGGCAAAGGTGTGACAACCTGGTGCTGGGGGAGGCGGCCAACGGCGCAAGGGAAGCCTTGTACCTGTGGATGAGGCTGGTCTTCCCCACGTAGAGATCGCCAACCACCACCACCTTGGAGAGTTTGAGCCTGTGGGAAATACGGCCGTGTTGCCATTGGGCATGGCTTCCAGGGTGTCTTCAGATACTCACAGCCGCTTTCTCCCAGAGCTCTCTGCTGGGAGATACCCCTCACTCATGGACACAGGATGGGCCACCTTGCTGAGACACTGTGGTCCCCCTCCCCAGTCCCCAGAGGGGAGATGGGAGAGGCTGGGGACTCTGCTGCCCCTAGAGCTACACCCCTCACCATATTTGGCCAAAGTCCCCATCCTGAGAATTAGGAATAGGCATGACAAGAGGCTGAGTCACAGGTGGAGGGGGCAGCAGTAAGAGCCCAGGGTGTGGCTGTGGTAACCGACCAACAGCTTCAGGCATATCTTTGCTGCCGGTGCAGACACAGGGTCCACGTGCAGGGAGACCCCGGCACAACGGACGGGCACGCCCCTCACCCTCCTATGCACCCCCTAGGACTTTGTGCCTGCGTGGGCTCTGGCTCCTTGCAAGCAGGCACTCCCTGACCATGACACCACTGTGCCCTGCTCACTTAGAGGTATCTGTAAGGGTCAGACAGGCCAAGGGGCACACTTTAAACAGCTCGGGCTCTATATATCTGGGCTGTGTCTTCAGGCGAATCGGCTCTGAGTTCTTGGGCTCTCTGGGGGTCACTGCTCCCCGAGAGCAGCCACTACCCTCCCCCTCCGTGTGTGTCCTACACTCTGTATAGAGGCATTTCTGGGACTGTTTATTATTTTTTTTTAGAGACAGAGTCTTGCTGTGTTGTTCAGGCTGATCTCAAACTCCTGGGTTGTAGTGATCCCCCCACCTCAGCCTCCTGAGTAATTGGGACTACAGGTGCCATTGTGCCCAGCTTCCCGGGACCATTGACAACACTTTAAGAGTTTTTGCAGCTCATCCTAAAGGAGCCAACCGTCACAGCAACCAACCTGGGTAAATATCTGACAGGCCCTTTCTCTGCCTGGACAGCAAGAGGGCACTGTTCTGTCACCTGGTGACCTGGCTGCAGGTCACCTTACTAGGTCTGCGAGAGCAGGAACTGTGTCTACCCTGCTCCCAGAGGGCCCTCTTGTTCTGACTCCATTTCTCCCATGAATGAGTAAAGATATATATATATATATATATATATATATATATATATATGTTTTTTTTTTTTTTGAGATGGAGTTTTGCTCTGTCACCCAGGCTGAAGTGCAATGTCACCATCTTGGCTCACTGCAACCTCCACCTCCCGGGTTCAAGCGATTCTCCTGCCTCAGCCTCCCGAGTAGCTGGGATTACAGGCATGCGCCACCACGCCTGGCTAATTTTGTATTTTTAGAAGAGACGGTGTTTCTCCATATCGGTCATGCTGGTCTTGAACTCCTGACCTCAGGTGATCCGCCCACCTCAGCCTCGAAAAGTGCGGGGATTACAGGCATGAGCCACTGTGCCCGGTGAGTAAAGGTATTGACAAGGCCTTACAGCAGGTATCCTCTGATCCTGTTTCCCCACTTCCAGTGCTGCTGTCAGGGGTCAGGGAGATCACCTGTGTGAAGTACCTGATGCCACACCAGCATTCCCCAACAGATGCCATTACTCTCATCCCACCACCATGACCGCTTCGGCCATTCTGATCTGAGCTCTGCCTCATTCACTCTGTGCAGCTTGGGGACCTCTAGCTGAACTCTTTAGCAGCCTCATCACACCTGTGTGACCCCCGTGAGCTCCGCCAACTCCCTGAGCAGACTATGGGCTCCCGAGGATAAGGGGCAAAAGCAGGCCCCTGTATGTGTTTGTGGAAAGAAGGAATGACTATTTCACAATCCCTGTGCTGGTGGTGGCAGGTGCTGCCGTGGCAGGAACAGGACAGACACAGCCCTCACCCTCTTGGGGTAGTCTAGTGACGAATGCAGCCTGCAATTCTGTGAGATAAGTTCTTGGGGCACAAGAGCACCCAGGAGGGGTACCCTCCGCAGCCCAGGCTTGGAGGCAAGGGTAGTGGGGGGTCAGAGAAGGCTCCCAGAGGACTTGACGCTTACACTGAGACCAGAAGGGGAAAGGGAAGCGAGGGGATTAGGAAAGACATTCCAGAGGAAAAGGACCTGTGCTGAGACCTCAGGCCGAAAAAATACCCGCTTGACTTAGAAGACGGAAAGTTATTTCATATGGCAGAGGTGTGTTGACTGAAGCCAGATGAAAACCCCAGCCATCTTCAGGCCTGTACAGGGCTGCACCAGCCTCGTCTGTGTGTGTTTCATTTGTTCATTCTTTCACACGTGCATTCATGCACTCATTCCTTTGTGCCACCTGCTCCCCCATCCCATGCCCTGCAGGCTCACCCGACAGTCCCTGTGTTCCTGCGTTGGCAGGCAGCGCTGACCTGCCCGTGGAAGTGCTCCCTGAGCTGCAAACAGGCTTCTGGCGTGTACCACTGCAAAGAGACAGGCAGACAGACAGACACATCATCCTGCAAAGCTGCAGCTCCATCCCCATAGCCAAGCAGTGAGGGGTGAGGATCTTCTCAGCCTTCCCTCTTAGGCCTCACAGCTGGCAGCCTCATTAGCATTCCCTGACCCCTCAGTCATGCCTATCCTCTATTTCTTCAGCCTTTAGGCTCTGGGGTCTTCTGAGTCCAAAGAGGGGAGCCCAGGCAGGGACTTGGAGATCTGGGTCTCACCTGGGGCGGCGGTCCCCTTGCTGCATGCATGTGACAGGCCTCTGCCTGCTCTGGGCCTCAACCCTCTCAGGGTGAAATGAGGGGTGAGCAGTGAGCAGAGGCTTTTGGTGCCAAGATCCTCCAAGATCCAATTAGCCAGGTGCAGCAGTGCCTGCCTATGGTCCTAGCTACTCAGGAGGCCGAGGTGGGAGGATCGCTTCAGCTCAAGAGTTGGAGGCTGCAGTGAGCTATGATCATGCCACTGCACTCCAGCTTGGGTGACAGAGCGAGACCCTGTCTCTAATCCATACCTTCTACGAATATCTGATGACATTTTGTTTTAAAAACATGCATACATGTGCCTGAAAAATGTCCTAGAAGGCACTTTCTGTCATCTGCATGTCTTGGAAGGCAGATCTGAGCAATGGTTTAAGAGCATGGGTCTCAGGGTCAGGAAAAACTGCACACATCCCACCCACCCTCACCTGCTGTGTAACTAGAAAAAAATGAGATTAAACAAACTAAAGAGGACCATGATTTTTTGCCATTGGATTGGCCAGGCGAAATACAGAATGTGGCAAGGATGTGGGGAGCAGGACACTATTGAGGCCATTGGTGTGATCTGTGCATGGCAATGGTCCCACCCGCCGGCCCCCACCCCTGCACAGCCACAGCCACCTGCTCTGTCCCTCTGGACACTGCTTGGATCCACAGCTTCCCTCCCCAGCGCCAGTATCTTGGGCATGGATTTAGGCTCCACCCTCTCTGCTCCAGCTGTGATAGAGGCAGCAAGGATGGTGAAAGGAGATTGGCAAAGGGCAAGTTACAGAACCTTACTGAGCTCCAGTTTCCTCAAATGTTAAACAGGGATGCTCATAATAGCACCTTTTCTTTCTTTTTTTTTTTTTTTTTGAGATGGAGTTTCGCTCTTTTTACCCAGGCTGGAGTGCAATGGTGCGATCTCGGCTCACCGCAACCTCCGCCTCCTGGGTTCAAGCAATTTTCCTGCCTCAGCCTCCTGAGTAGCTGGGATTACAGGCGTGCGCCACCACGCCCAGCTAATGTTTTGTATTTTTAGTAGAGACGGGGTTTCACCACGTTGACCAGGATGGTCTCGATCTCTTGACCTCGTGATCCGCCCGCCTCAGCCTCCCAAAGTGCTGGGATTACAGGCTTGAGCCACCGCGCCTGGCATAATAGCACCTTTTCATGTGGTCGTTGGAGGAGGAGCCGCACGACGCAGCGAACAGCTCAGCCTGATAGTCTGCTTTCCTGCAGGAGAGCTGCAGCTACCACGAACAAGCTGCCTGCTTCTCTCTGTCAACTTCCATGACAGCTTTTTTTTTTTTTTTTTTTGAGACAGAGTTTCGCTCTTGTTACCCAGGCTGGAGTGCAATGGCGCGATGTCGGCTCACCGCAACCTCCGCCTCCTGGGTTCAGGCAATTCTCCTGCCTCAGCCTCCTGAGTAGCTGGGATTACAGGCACACGCCACCATGCCCAGCTAATTTTTGGTATTTTTAGTAGAGACAGGGTTTCACCTTGTTGAGCAGGATGGTCTCGATCTCTTGACCTTGTGATCCACCCGCCTCAGCCTCCCAAAGTGCTGGGATTACAGGCTTGAGCCACCGCGCCCGGCCCATGACAGCTTTAAGCTGGGGTCTGGCCTGGACACAATGGTCATTAGAGGATGACTGGAAGGCCGTGGTAATGAAGGCTGCGGGTAGGAAGTGTGAGCTGATGTCAGAGACAGGGAAACTGAGGCACATGGAGTAGAGGGCAGGACTTGCCTGGCAAACAGTTTGAGGACCCTGCCCAACCTGACTGAATTTCTCGGGTATGGCCCTGGGTTGCAGGATGAACTTGGCCAGCCTTGAACGTGGCCTTGACACCTGAACTACGGGCAGGAGGGGAGAATGTCACCTGTGAAACCAGGACAGATTCCCCTGGCTGCCTCCCTGGGTTAGGGAGCTCCGGAGCCGGACCTGGCCAGGTCAAATCCCAGAGGTACCAGGCGCAGCTGTGTGATGTCAGGCAACCCTCCTTAACTCTCTGATCCTCACAGCCTCCTCTGACAATGGGGTTCCTCATCTCATGGTACCTGGACTGTTTTGTGCCGATCACACTTTCCTTCCTTTTGACTCATGAGACACCAGTCTCTGTCATCCCTAGTCACCACTGTCAAGTTCTGCAGAGGAAACGATTACCCGAGCCTCTGTTGAGATGGAAAACCCATGGGGAATTGTCCACAGGTCTGAGACACAAAGGCTTTCTCTATGTGTGTGCGAAGAACGGACTTAGGGAGGAAGGTAAAGAAGGGGAAAAAGGAATGGCCACATACTCCAAATACCCAGGACCTATAGTCACCTCCTCCTCACCAGCCTGGCCACAGAATCCAAGATGCAAAAGGCCATTCCATGGAGAGGATCTCTCCCTCCACGCCTATCCTAAGCCACACAGAGGCAGCCACTAAGAGCAGGGGCTTATATATCCTTCTAGAGATCTTTTCTGCATGTATAAACAAACATAGACATTTCTCCCTCTCCTTGTTTTCACACACATGGGAATGTGCTGCACACGCTCTACTGCATGCTGCCCCATGCCCTGCTTTTTTTGAAACAAAGCTTCACTCTTGTTGCCCAGGCTGGAGTGCCATGGCATGATCTCAGCTCACTGCAACCTCTGCCTCCCAGGTTCAAGCAATTGTCCTGCCTCAGCCTCCTGAGTAGCTGGGGTTACAGGTGTGCACCACCATGCCCGGCTAAATTTTTTTTTTTTTTTTTTTTTTTTTTTGAGAAGGAGATTCGCTCTTGTTACCCAGGCTGGAGTGCAATGGCGCGATCTCGGCTCACCGAAACCTACGCCTCCTGGGTTCAGGCAATTCTCCTGCCTCAGCCTCCTGAGTAGCTGGGATTACAGGCATGTGCCACCATGCCCAGCTAATTTTTTGTATTTTTAGTAGAGACGGGGGTTCCACCATGTTGATCAGGATGGTCTCAATCTCTTGACCTCGTGATCCACCCGCCTCGGCCTCCCAAAGTGCTGGGATTACAGGCTTGAGCCACTGCGCCCGGCCCAATTTTTGTATTTTTAGTAGAATCAGGGTTTCACCATGTTGGCCAGGCTGGTCTCAAAGTGCTGACCTCTGGTGATCCGCCTGCCTCGGCCTCCCAAAGTGCTGGGATTAGAGGCATGAGCCACTGCATCCGGCCATGCCCTGCATTTTTACTTAACCTTTGAGTCTCACTGTCAGTCCTTGAAGAGGTTGCCTCCTTCTTCCTCACATCTGTCCCAGGAAGTAGCATTACTTGTTTAACCAGTCTCTTTGAGGATATTTACGTCGTATCTGACCTCCTATTCTTACAAACTGCTGCGACGCCTATCCTTGTGCACAATGTAAACCCAGGCCAGAACATCTGCCAAGTAAATTCCTAGAAATGGAATGGCAAGGCTAGTTGTGGTGGCTCACATCTATAATCCTGGTGCTTTTAGAGGCCTGGGTGGGAGGATTGCTTGAGGCCAGGGGTTCAAGACCCTGGGCAACATAGCAAGACTTTGTCTCTACAAAAAAATTTAAAAATTAGCCAGGCATGGTAGCACAAGCCTGTGGTCCTGGCTACTCAGGAGGCTGAGGTGGGAGGATTGCTTCAGCCCAGGAGTTTGAGGAATGAGCTATGATTATACCACTGCACCCCAGCCTGGGTGACAGAACAAGACCCTGCCTCTAAAAAAAAAGAAAAAAGAAATGGAATGGCTGAACCTCAGAGGGCAGGGTCATCTGCCATATTGGTAAATATGGAGGTTGTACTTAATTTGTATTCCCTGCTACAATTAATATTGGATTTTAATACAGACAGAAGAGAGCTGTGAGTTTGCAGCAGAAAATAGAGACAGAATGGCAAGGGGAGAGAGCCCTGGATTTGGCGTCAGGTAACTGGAATGCTGTTTCGGTAACAACAATGATAATGAGAACAACAGCAACCATGCCTGTAAGGGAGCTCCAGCACACCATGAGCTGGGCACCCAATATGAAAAGAATTACCTCCATGTAACAGTGGCTCTGAGAGTATGAGCACTTTGCCCACAGTCACACAGCTTAATGACAGAATCAGAATTAAGGACTCACACCAAGGACTGCATGGCTGCAAAGTCCTAGCCCTCAAAACCTCCAGGCCACACTGTTACCTGGTGTCACCATTAACTTGCTGCCCTGCCTAGGGCAGTCAATGGCCAGTCTCCCAACTTCTCAAGGTAAATCTGGCAGTGGACGGACCTCCTCAATTCACCTGCTTTACTTCTAGGCACGAGTGTAGAGTGGGGAGAGCCGATGTGGCTGCAGCAGCAGGAGAGCACTGCAGATGTAATGCCTCTCTACCTTAGGGAAGCTGGCGATGACACGGTCACGGCTCACAGGGGGCCCCAAAGGTGTCAGGGAGGACTTCATTCTTCCAGAGTCCTGTGGACCCAACCAGGAGAAAGAGAGTTAAGGAGCCGTGCAAATGCTTGGGGACTCACCCATGAGTTTCTACCTAACTTTTCATCGGATGCAGGCTGGGTGCAGTGGCTCATGCCTGTAATCCCAGCACTTGGGGAGGCCAAGGTGGGAGGATCACTTGGGCCCAGGAGTTTGAGACTAGCCTGGGCAACAAAGTGAAATCTCCGTCTCTAAAAAAAAAATAGAGCATGGTGGCCTGTCCCTGCAGTCCCAGCTACTTGGGAGGAAGGTGAGAGGAAGACTTGAGCCTGGGAGGTCAAGGCTGCAGCGAACCATGAAGTTGCCTCTGCACTCCAGCCTGGGTGATAGAGTAAGACCTTGTCTCAAGAATAATAAATAAAATCGGATCCACGCCTCTCGCTTTGTCAGGAGTAGGGAGCAGAGGCCATTTCTCTCAATCTGCATATAGCAGGCAGAATGGTATGGGGAACCAGGCCTGCCCCACCCTGCCTGGGAGTCAGAAGACCTGGGTGCCCCCTTGACAGGTGTCTACCACGGAGGAGTCCCCCCTCTGAGCTTACCTTAAGGGCTGTGAGACATTGCACAGCTCAGGCAGCGGAAGTGGAGTGGGGAGGAATCTCCTACTCCTAGTCTGCAAAGGATGAAGGCTCTAGGTGGGCCTGGGATACTCCTAGTCTGCAAAGGATGAGGCTCTAGGTGGGCCTTCAGCCAACTAGGCCTTTTCCCTGAAAGCCCTCACCTTACCAGGCCTCTGACTCCTCGAGCCTCCTCAGCAGCCCTCTGTCTCCTTTTTCTGTCTGGGTCCCTCTCCCGGCTGGGGTGGCCTTGGCGGAGTCCGGCTATCCTCCCGCATCTGACCCGGCTCTTCTCCCTGACCAGCGTGGGCCTGGCCCAGAGTGTGCGCTCAGGAAATGGGGACGCTCCGGGGCTGCAGGCCGCTTTCAAGTTATAGGGATGGGAAGTGGGCGCGGACGCGGTGCCCTTGTGGCCCTGGCCTCCCGGATGTGCCAGCACGGGGGTGGGTAGCCGGGAGGGCCGGACAGGGTGGGCGGGCGGACTCACGGATGGTGGCTGCGAAGGCTGGAGCTCCGCGCGGCCTGGTCCACCTGAGCCAGCGGCGGCAATCACCATGGCAACGAGAGCCACGCGGGACCGGCGGGCTACACAAATCGCAGACGTCGGGGGCGGGGTCTGCGTTTGACTGGCAGCCGCGCGTCCAAGCATCCGGTTGGCGCCAGCGATCACCATAGCAACTAGAGCCTGCCTGGAGTCTGGGCGGGGCTGGTTGCGGAGAGACTCTCGGACACCCTGGAGCACCGGAGATCACCAAGACAACAATGGCGGTGCTGGATAGGCGGGCGGTAGGCGGGACCATGGACGCCCAGGGAGGAAGCCTGGGCTGTGGGTGGGGCTGCCCATGGAGAGACTGCTTTCGCTTCTGGCGATCACCTCGGCTGGGAGAGGTGGTGCAGTCCTGGCATAACTCCTGATGTAGTACCGATGTTTAATTGGAATCAAGCACCACTGATGGACGTACCTACCTACTGGCCTTAGTCTGCGTAATTCTGAATCCATTGTTGTCTGAATATCATATGCCTGGCTTCTACAGCTCACAGGACAAAATTAATTTCCTTAATAAATAGTTGCCCTGAGTCAGTGATTTCCTCTGAGCTAGTCTTGGTTTGGAAAGTGAGCTGTTTTGGGCTAGATGGCCTCCCGAAGCCCTTATAAAACCGTGGAACCAGCTTTGGAGAAGTCCGGAGTTCAGCTTTGAGAACCTACTTAATTCAGCTCCTTAACTTTTCTGCATCACAATGTGGAATCCTTGGTACGTAGATTTAAGTCAGTCATTTTCAATTCAAAGCTAAGTGTGCTGGAGGCTGATGTTTGATTTTTTTTTTTCTTACGAGATGGAGTCTTGCTTGTTGCCCAGGCTGGACTCGAACTCCAGGGCTCAAGGAATCGTCCCTCCTCAGCCTCCCCAGTCCTTGGGACTACAGGTGAGGGCCTCCACACCTGGCTTTGTTTAATGTCATTTAGTGAGTTTCGTTGCTACGGTCGAGGCTTAGGGGGTGAACTTAGGTGAGTTGTTCCATCTTCCACACCTCAGTTTACTCAATTATAAAATGAACACAACTACCTACTTCAAGGGATCCACATGAGATGGTGAAAGTGCTTTTATATTGTAAAGCTTGACTCAAGTCTATTAACCAATCATTTGTTCTACACGTACTGAAAGCTTCCAGGTATATACCTAGCACTAGGGAGACAAGGAAACAGAACTGACATGGTGTCCACCCTCAGGGAAATTGGAGTCCGCTGGGAGAAGCAGAGAAGTAAATAGAGAATCAGGGGAAGGGAGTGTGCCAAAGGATTTAGGAGAAGGAAAGATTAAATTGTGGGATCAATTACTAATTTGGATTTGGGGATGTGGCAGGAGATAGAGATCACCCTCAACCCTCCTTAGCTCTTTTGTTTTTGAGATGGAGTCTCGCTCTGTGCTCTGTCGCTAAGGCTGGAGTACAGTGGCACGATCTTGGCTCACTGTAATCTCTGTTTCCCAGCTCAAGGGATTCTCATGCCTCAGCCTCCTGAGTAGCTGGGAGCTGGGACCACAGGTGCTCACCAACCACGCTTGTCTGATTTTTAAGTTTTTTTTTTTTTTTTTTTCTTGCTTGCTTTTTTAGCAGAGACTGGGTTTCACCATGTTGGCCAGGCTGGTTTTGAACTCCTGGACTCATGTGATCTGCTCACCTTGGCCTCCCAAAGTGTTGGGATTACAGGCGTGAGCCACTCCACCTGGCCTCAACCCTCCTTTAGCTCTTAAGTGGGCTCTTTGCCTGGATCTAGATACCAAATTAACACCAAGCGGATTAGCAAGAGAAACGCACACAAACGTTACCAGTTTTACAAGCGCATGGGGATCTTTACCAGAGTGAAGCATGCAAAGTACCCAGCACAGAGAAGGGCGTAAGTAAGTCCCTTCCCTTCCCTTCTGTACCTTGAACAAAGCTGAGCCGCCCTTGGTCCCCACGGTAACTCTGTAAATTATCGTTCCCACTTTGCAGCCTGCGGCAGCCTTGGGTTGTTTGCGCCTGCGCGGTGGGCGCTGAGTACGTAGAAGGCGGCGCGGCAGACGCTGCCCGAGTCGCCTGGCAACGGAGTCGCTTGGCAACTGAATAGGTTGGCCGCGGGCGCGCGCTATTGCAAGCAGAAACGGCTGCGGAAGCAGGTGAGGCGGCGGCGGTGGGCTAGGGCCCCGGGAACAGGGGGGCCCAGTGACCCACCCAGTCCCATTCACAAGGGGCCCGTGTCCCCACACTCAAAGTCACACTGTTTCGTCTCCGACCGGACGCTTCCAGCTCATGCCCCTTAGAGGAAGGCAGGCCCCTGTCCTCAGCGCCCACCGTTCCTGCGAGGGGAGCTCAACTCAAATGTGGCCACGTTCCTCCCAGCCCGGCCCCCACCCCTACCGTTTGCATCTGGTGTCCTGCGTGAGCATCTGCCTTACCTTTTACCGGAGTAGATTCCTACAGGCCTGCGGCCTGTCTGTCCATTCGACTAATCATGAAAATAACCATGATAAAAACCACAGCCAATGCGTCTGAAGCTCTGGTGTGCCAGGCTCATGTGTATTAGGTAACATGACAACTGTGGGAGGGAGGGAAGGAGGTACTGTTATCATCTCCCCTTTGAAGCTGCAGAAAGACACACATAGAGGAAGTGGCTTGCCAAGGGTCACCCATGGCTAGAGTCTGGAGTCAGTTCTTTTTTTTTTTTTTTTGAGACAGAGTTTCACTCTTGTTACCCAGGCTGGAGTGCAATGGCGCGGTCTCGGCTCACCGCAACCTCCGCCACCTGGGTTCAGGCAATTCTCCTGCCTCAGCCTCCTGAGTAGCTGGGATTACAGGCACGCGCCACCATGCCCAGCTAATGTTTTGTATTTTTAGTAGAGACGGGGTTTCACCGTGTTGACCAGGATGGTCTTGATCTCTTGACCTCGTGATCCACCCGCCCCGGCCTCCCAAAGTGCTGGGATTACAGGCTTGAGCCACTGCGCCCGGCCCCCTAATTTTTTGTATTTTTAGTAGAGATGGGGTTTCACTATGTTGACCAGGATGGTCTTGATCTCTTGACCTCATGATCCACCTGTCTTGGCCTCCCAAAGTGCTGGGATTACAGGTGGGAGCCACTGCGCCCAGCCTGGAGTCAGTTTTTAACTACTAATCCACACTACTTAAATAGTTGCTAAAACTGTGTGTGTGTGTGTGTGTGTATGTGTGTGTGTGTGTGTGTGTTATAAAAATAAATCACCTTTTAGCATTAATTATTTTTCATGGATGTGTCAGAAACATCTGAATATGGGTTCCTAGCAGTGAGTGGGCTAGACCCGGATTTGAACATTGATTCCTGCTCTTACCAGTTTCACGTCCTCCAGTAAGCTCCTTGGCCAGAACCTCAGCTTCCTCATTTGTAAAATGTGGATAATACAAGCCCCCTTCTTACTGAGTTGAAACTACTTATTGCTGGAACAAAATAAGCACGAAACACAGTGATCATCTTGGGGTCTGCCTGTTGGGTTTGTTTTGTCCTTTGGTGCCTTTGACTGAAGATCCAGACGAAAGTATCAGTGGTTTCTTCTGCGAAGCACTGTTGTGTGGGAGAGCTCTGGAGTTTGCAGTTTGGGCTGTTGCTTACCTTCCCTGGGACTTTGAGCAAATCTCTTCATTGCTCTCAGCCTCAGTTTGCTCATCTGTAAAATGAAAGTAAAAATACCCATCTGCCTGCCCTCGGAGTCTGGAGGATCAAATGAGAAGTTGCTTTTAAATCATAATTGAAATCATAACAGCTTTTTGGGTTCTTTTAGTGAGTGGTTTCCGCAGAGCTTCGTTTGGAGAGGTCTCTATAGTGGGGGAAAGATGGCCCAATCCGGAGACTCCATGGAACTTTCCATTAACATCAATGCCGCCCAAGTTACCACTGCCTATGGCCATCGGGCGCTGCCTAAGCTGAATGAGGAGCTGCAGTCAGAGGACCTCCAGACGAGGCAGAAAGCCCTCATGGCCCTGTGTGACCTCATGCATGACCCCGAGTACATCTACAAGGCCATGAACATAGGTGAGTGTGACACAGCACAGGTGACAGTGACTGGGGTTCTAGCATGGCTTTGGACACTTGGTAGAACTTCAGTAGTCAGAGTTGCTATTGTTTGAGCCTGACTCCAGGCCAGTTCCACCTCAGGTGCAGTGCCCACGTTCTTTTTAAAAGATATTTATTTATAGGGGCAGGGTCTTGCCATCTCCCAGGCAGTGGCAGAATCATAGCTCACTGTAACCTTGAAATCTTGGGTTCAAGAGATCCTTCCTGAGTAGGACTGCAAGCATGTACCACCATGCCTGACTACCTAAAAAAAAATTTTTTTTAATAAACAATATCTTGCTATGTTGCCCAGGCTGTTCTTGAACTCTTGGCCTCAATTGATTCTTTCAGGTCAGCCTCCAAAGTTTTGGGGTTATAGACATGAGCTACCACACCCAGCCTGGATTATCTTATTCCTCAGAGCAGCCACCTACAAAGGAGGGTCCATTCGCAACCAACAGATAAGAAAAGCACACTTCAGAGAAGGGTTGTGAGTCTAGGGTTGCCCAATAAACAAATAAAGCTGGTTTGTATTAATTTATTATTTTTTTGAGACAGAATCTCTCTCTGTCTTCCAGGCTGGAGTGCAATGGCACAATCGTGGCTCACTGAAACCTCCGCCTCTTGGGTTCAAGCGATTCTCCTGCCTTAGTCTCTCGAGTAGCTGGGATTACAGGCACCTGCCACCACGCCAGGCTAATTTTTGTATTTTTAGTAGAGATGGGGTTTCATCGTGTTGGTCAGATTGGTCTCAAACTCCTGACCTCAAGTGATCTGCTCGCTGCAGCCTCCCAAAGTGTTGGGATTGCAGGCGTGAGCCACCGCACCCAGCCAAAGCTGCATTTTTATTTGCTAAATCTGGCATCTCTAGGTGTAACCCACTCAAGGTCATATGACTAGTTTGAGACAGGTTTATAATTTGACCCCACGTCTCTCTTGGGTTCAAATAAATGGCAAAGGCCACTTTCTTATCCCCATGGCAGACTTTGTGAGAAGGCACTGGTAGGAAGTGTGCAGGGAGAATCACTAGGAGGGTTGGATGGGACAGTCCCTGGGTATGAACCTCTTCAGTGCCTCTGAAATGCTGCATAACCCACATGATTCCCCAGGTCCCCAAAACAGAGGAACCTCTGGTACATTCCTGCCCCACTTGTTGACTTCTGGGTTAGTT